TTAAATTAATTATAGATTTGAAAAAAAATTGCTCTTATATAAAAAAAAATTGGTTTTAAATATGAGGTCAAATTGAGAACAATTTCTTAGATTATAATTTAATTACAAAGATTGAATCTATCTGATACATAAATATAAAATAGAAAGTTATTGACCTATCAGCAAAAGTCATAATATGGACGTTACTTTTTTTGTGAGCAATTTTAACGAATTCAAAGTGGAAGAGAAGTATAAAAACAAAGTACTTTTTCCAAAATCTCTTCAAGGAATAACAATGTAGTTTGGACTATAATTTGATTTAGAACATAATTATGTAAGCAATTAACTAATACCAATGTAAAAGAGAAGGTTATTGACCTATCAATAATATCGAATTTACTATTTTTGTGAGCAATTTGAACGAGGTGAAGCTGAGAGGCAAGTATAAAAAACAAAGTACTTCTACTGAGGACCAAAGGTCCTTAAAGGAATAGCGATGTAGCTTAGATTATAACGCGATTATGAAGATAGATGCGCATGGAGGTTTTTTTTCGGTGTGTTTTTATAGTAAAAATGTGGTGCTTCTAAGAGTAATCGGTCTAGTGGGCAGGAGACCAACCGGCGCGTGGTTTCCAACCGATTTTTGGCTTGATGCCATTCTTTCTGCACGTATTCGGCGAAGACACAATTGATTACCATTCGGTTCCTCTGCCAGGCGGATAGTTCAATTCTCCTGGTTTTATTTTAATTTCGCAAAGAGCGTACATACGTACGTGGCGCGTTTTTAATGTGGTTCTTCGAAAAAAGGTTTACAACCATTATCCGGTGAATTTATTGGGCTTCCATTACCTACGTACTTCGATGTGCATATGCATTTTGGCATCGTGTATTTCAACAAACCGGAACAGCAACCGCTGCAGGTCTGCTCTACCAAACCAATCATAATCCATAAGGCAGATTACGTTATACATATACAAACATGTGATGTATCTTATATAACATACACATCAACGTGTTGATGGAAATTGGAAATTGCAATGGCGACAGTATATATATATTTGCAATTTCATTACAGATTCAATAACATTCCGACTCATCAGAAATTCATTCACTTTCACACGGTGAATTTCTTTCGCGTTTTCCAGTGATGACGATCCGCCGCCTTCTGACCGATTTCCGTGCGGAAATCAAATGAAACGCAAACTTTTCCGTAACCTTGACATTTGCAAGAATCGTAAAATAGCTCTTGCATTAGAGAGCGATATGCCTTTGACCTGATTACGTCCGTTTATTTATTCGCATTGTTTTACGAGAACTGTGAGCAATGCTCGAAGTGTTCAACCTGATAAGGTTTCTCCGACCTTACAGCTCAGCCAACATATTGATAAGGGTCTAATGTTACGGTCCTTTATTGTTCTCCAAATCTTTTTTATTTACTTTTATTTATGACATGATAGAGGTATAAGCTCCCTTATCTGTGCAAAAACTGCCCGGACACGAGGGTTTTCTGCAATTCACCACCCAGAAAAAAAAAACGTAAAAATGTAGTAAATATACATAGGATTCCACAATTTTAAATACAACGTCCAGTATAATATAGATAAAAACAGATTTTATTAAATTATTAACGATACAATCAGTTGTATATATTCATAACAAATTTATAATTTATGTAATCAAAAATTTGTACAATTTATATAAGCATAATGCGGAATAATCGTGGAATTAAAATTTAGTTTGTTTTGAAATTTCCTAACTGAACCGGACTATGCGAGGTATTGCTGTATTTACATAGAATAACGTTGCATAATAAAGATATAACGTGAATGGTTCCTTTAAAAGCTATTTCCGGGATAGAAAACGTTGCTCCCTTTTTAAAAGTATTTTTATACCGAATTCCACGCTATAATAAAAACTAAATTATTGATTTTGTTCTCATTCGAATTTACGACTTTCATATAAAAATTTGTCGTATATTTTTCTGTATATAAAAGGGGGAAAAAATGGTCGCAGTCGCTTATACTTGCATACTCACTCCTCGCCACGAGTCCCGTCTTTTGGTCGAAACGAACCGAGAAAAAGTTTGCCGTCTCGAAGAAATAATTCATTAATAATGGAAAATGCTTTGGGTTTCAATAGAAACCGCTTCTATTCATAGTTCACTTTTTACACCGATTACTATAACAAATACGTCTGCGATCCAGACGTGATTAGATCATTTGTATTTCATCGTTGACATCTTAAACCGATCGACTATATAATCAATGTTCTAAATATATCAGATTTTTACACATGTTCTGATTTTATTACAGCAGCGTATTGCAAAATGACCTGCAGTCACGCACGTGTTGCACCCCTATTTCAGGCGTATCCAAAACACGAAATGAAATCTATCGATCTATGGAAATGAATGTATGATTGAGTAATGCTGTGTAACACTTGTATGCCAAATCAGCGTTTAATGGACATAAACTTTGACTTTTTTTTGTTGTGTCCACACATGAATCAGAGTTTCAAATTTGCATTTTTTTTTTGTATCAAAACCTCTGTCGTTTCCCAATATTAAATATATCTGGATACCGTGAATTATCTCATAATTCTGTCATTGGAGAGTGGAAAGAATTAAGACAATTGTTGTTCTCATCAACTATGTGTTGAATTAACCTCTTTCTTTGTCCCACCAATTAAGACTAAAATCAAATATACAAATATAGTTTTAACTACGTTGGAGTTACATCATTTTCTCTATCTAAGTTCTACTCTACACAGAGTGAAAGCTGGGAGCCACAATTTCTTATCAAAAGAACCGTAACATTTTATTTTTTTATCTATATTGATAATATGCAACCATTTTTGTAAAATCCTGAAACGTGTAATATATATTTTATATTAAAAGAAAATTAAAAAACAATATACTCCAAATGAGCTTTGCATGAGTTAATTTAATACAAGCATACGTTCGTGAGAAATAATAGATTTCCCTCAAATATCATCATACATGCTGTGTCAATTAATAAATGCAAATTGCTTGTGAATCATATAACATTGGACATGAATGGAACCATTTCAATTATGGTAATAACCAACATTATCCCAAATTAGTATGCTGCAAATATATAACGAGGGGTTCATACAATGGATGTAAATAAGGCTTGTTTTCTTTTTGCATAGAACTGAAATTTCCAATACAAAATAATAACGTATAAACATAATTGCATTAATTTATATAACACAAATTAATAATATTTATTTACATTTGTGCAAATATTAGTTTTTGTGTCTTTCATATGAAAATATATTTAATTATATACTTTACATACAAATAATATTAATAATCAATAATAAATAAATTTATTTATGAATTTATCCTTTTTTTATTGTTAAAAACTAATACTTTTTATGACAAATACATCAATTTCTCAGTGAACTTACGTTACATTGTTACTAGTATTACATTGATTTCCAGAAAAATATGTCCATTCATCACAGTAAATGTATCTTTTAAGCTTTAATATAATTGATTGTGAATGTTATATATTGGACTTTATGTTACATTTTTTATTGATTTTACAAGAATTGCAGCTTAAATCCATTTCCGTTACTCGGTTTTATTGAGTTGAAATTAAAGTAAAAACTTTATTTGCGACAAATATTTCAAATATAATTAGTTTTAATTATATTAATCTGCAGTTGTAATTACATAAAATTTACTATTATTTAGATTTTTATTATATAGTGATAAAATAACTTTTTAAATACAATTATAATTTTTATTGTTTTTGCATATATTCAATTCAATTCAATCTTCTATTGTTTTGGTATTTTTATGAAATAATAATGGAAAATATACGCTGATTTCAAGTCCAATTAAAAAGTAAAACAAATATATTTATTACAAAATATAAAAACGAAATGTAATAATATTTTATATTAAACACTATAGAATTAATGATAATTATAGTGAACAAATGAAAAACTCTTACTATATTAACTATGAATGTATGAATTTTATTTTGAAGAAATCTTAATTTTGATCGAATTGTTAATTTGTTATATTTTTTGAAAATGTTAATTATTACAGCAATAGTCTGGAGATTTAAATAAGTAATTTGTTGTTATTAGTTTAAAATCTAAATCTTGTCTTTTAAAACTTTGATCTAATTCTGGTGATTCGTGCATTTCATGACTAAATTATTTTTACGAAACTATCAAGCGAGAAAGATATTTGGCTGAACTATGGATTATGGGTTACCAGCCAGAAATGTCTTCTTGTAACGACCATCGTGATATGAATACAAAATGTCTGCTCAAACATTGAGACTGCATAGTCTTCTTGAGAATATTTTTACATACTATCCACCTTTCACATACATACTTTCTCATATTCTATATATCAAATTTGATCAGCATAACTTACAATGATATTAATTAATTAGAAATAGAAAGTATCTTTTCCCGGATTTTTTTTGTTCCCGAGAAATTTACTATAAAATAAAGTCTAAATCTAAAATTGCTGTTCTGATCTGAGCCTTTCCATTTTAATAATTGTGAAAGTTGAAATTTAAATAATTAAATAATTAAAATTGTTTATAAATTTAAAAACAGAATCCATATTTGTAAAACATTAAATTGTTTGCAGATAATAGGCAAAACCAATAAAATATTTTCGTGTATATTAATGAATATAAATATGTAGGGAAACTAGTTCCAATTTAGTAACGAGATGCCTTATTTATAGCTCTAGTAACGAGCATATGAGTGTATTAGATTTTTTCAATTTTTCCCGGGAAAACGGGAAATTTCTGAGATTTCTAGGTCAAAAATGAAACTCTAATTAGAATAGTTTAATGGACAGATGAAATAGTTCTTCAAATACTAGAATTAGTAATAGAGTTTTAATGAAACACACGTGCATTTGCATGTTCAAATTGAAAGGAATTAGCAATACAAATTTCGAAAGTATATAAAACATGTATTTTAATTCCAATAGCAACATTAATTAATTGTATTAATATTTGTAGGTATTCAGACAATCCTTTACAGCACATTACACCATCTATGACGTCAGTAACGAGTGAGTAGTGCACCTAGAATTTCTTTATTTTCTTTGCATGTAGAAAGAAATAAATTACAATGCTTGGAAACTGAACTAGTCGAGCTCTCGCCTCCAAAGGAAAACAATGTAAAAAAAATAAGGGAAATGCAAATAATGTTGAAACTTGGAGACGCAGAAAAATAAACAGTTTTCGCGTGTTTTCTTTACCATTTTACCATGCACGCAGAAATAATGACCGATAAAATATATATACTTTATGCTATCATTAAACATTGCGCATTTCATTTTAAATTGGCGAATTATTTGCTCTATTTATAGCCAAATAAAATGATCGTACTGTTTTATGACTTAGTACTATATTATTCATGTAATTGAGTCAAAATGGAGCAGTTTTTTTTTTATATTTTCATTACTTTTTTTAAACTCTTATGATGAACTTTTTTGTTTGTGCTGATATTACTTTCACATTTTTTCTAATCTGCAGTGTTCATATTTCTTGATGAACATTTTCGCTATTCTCCAAGTGTACAATAATCGTGACCTCAAAAAAAAGGATTCATAAACTCCCTTCGTTGTCTTTTCGAATAAAACATCGCGCCAAGGCTTTTTCGTTAAAGATTAATCATCGACTTGGAAGTAAATATTTTTTGTTGTTACATGATTTTCAGTCATCACATACCCGTTCGGTTGGCGGAATCATCGAAAACCCAAAGGCAGAGGCTGCAACATGCCAGCTGGTTGGGAGACACACATAAAATGTTAATTATTTTCAAGAACGACATTTACGTAAGGCAATCCCCGTGGGATGAAACCGATTCTAGGCTAACGTTCACAGGTGAACCAGATGTGGTGTTCAATGGAATACCGGACTGGCTATATCAAGGTATTATTATTGATGATAGAGACGACGCTCGTAATCCTCTTGATGTTCGATGCTTTAACGTTTTATTTTCTTACAGAAGATGTTATGAAAACTCCGAATGCTCTATGGCCGTCACATGATGGTACTCATATAATGTATGCTACGTTTAACGATAGTAACGTGGGTCTTCTATCCTTTCCATGGTTTGCTACTACCAACGTACTTGCAGCTGGTGGGGCTGCACACAAACCCACTACATTTCCATCAACTAGAACCATTAGATATCCAACGGCAAGTTTTAGATTTAGTTATTATTAATCTACAATATTTTTTTATATCCTTCCTTTAAAAACTCCTGACAAAATAATAACCCAAAAAAAATCTCTCAAATCATTAATTAATCAGAAATATTATAATTTTTATATGTAATATTTACAACAACAAAAGTGCAAATTCAACGCTGTTACATTTATTGTAAATATACTGAAATCATTCATTATTGATTTTTACATCCACTATATTTTTCATTCATTTAAGACATGTTTTTACTAAAAATTGTTATTACTTTTTTACATTACTTAATTACTCCCATGTATCTTGTTTTACATTTTGATTAACTAAAATTACAGTAATTGTAAATTTACTTAATTACATTTTTTTGTTCTGAAAACTGTCAAAATCTTCTCTTTAAAACAAAGTCAATATCTTTACTATTTCTTTTATTTTACATGTTTCTAAATTTTTTAATCTTTATGATTTTTTTCTAGATTTTTCTGATTTTTTTGTAATTAAATGTAAATTATGTAGCTGAATTTAAACGCATTCGTCGAAGTATACATTTTACATTAAATTGAAGTACGTCATAAATATATAATTGAAGGAATCATTAGAGAAGTAATGAACGTCTATTAAAGCTGCGAGAAATAGCAAAGGTTACATGCAAATGACGCAATATATTTTACATAAACATTTTGACTTGAGATCAATATATCTTGTTTGTACCTAAAATATGTTCGAATTATCATATCTTAATAGTTATCTAAATAACTTCAAATAAATACAAAATCTATTTAATTAATTTTGTTAAAAAAAAATCAGTAAAATTTTATTTTTTTAGAATTTTTAAAACAAATAATTGATTTCGGCTTAAAACATAATGATTTGTGGTTAATATAATATAATATAAAAAATTCAGTTTCCATTTTTAAAATGAACTTTTCAGAACATATATTTCCTTTTTGCATTAAAAATATTAACATTTTGTAAGTGACAAGAAATACACAAATAACAGTATGACTAGCAGTTTTAATAATTGCCCATGTCAGTAAAGAATGTTTTACATTTTGAGCCGTGACTGGAATCGTGGAAAACAATAAAAGAAAGGAAAACTCGCTGAAGCGAAATGCTAGAGCTACTGCTGTCCGTTGTTTGTTGATTTTTCAACTGAGACGGAATCTCATACTTTGAATTTCAATTGCGAATGAGTAGTATCTATTTTTCAGCCACTCGATATATTCAAATGGGACGGAATATATTTAATCACAGTTGTTTTCCGCATAGACTGCTGAAAAAAAATTGATTCACCTTGATAAGTTCTATTTACTATTTGGATATATGAACAATGTAAATAATTTATATATTTCTATGAATGTAATTAAGCTGAATTTACTGAAATAGTGTAAACAATATACAATTATGTTTTTACACGTGTCTCTTCACTTGAACGTACACTTTGCAGTCGGATTCAATAAGCTTCTCTACAGAAGAAGTTTAAAAAATAATGACGACTATTATTAATGTACGTTTGTTCGGATATTTGTAGATTAGTTAGGTCAGGGTAAAGAATAATGTACGTATTATTGAAGGTATGCTGATTGAGCGCGGATTGTATTGAGTAAAAAAACGTTTTCACAAATTGCGGGTGCGAAAGTGTATTGATTGAGACGTGTATCCTTCACCTTTTTACGTAAGCTATCCTCATTATGATTTATCGCTTGGACCTTTTCGTTGAAACAGCCAATTGGTGTTGCATTTATTTTCCGGCTTATTCCTCAAAGCAATTCCTTTACATTATATTATGCCGCTCTAATTGCAGCCAGGAACTCCAAATCCTCATGTACAACTTTGGGTCCTGGACATCACAAACTTGACCGACTTACAACAGTACGAAGTTCTACCACCGAAAGCACTCGTCGGGCAGTAAGTTTTATTTGATAATAAATAAATATAATACTCTATAAAAGAAGAATTTGCATTCAAGTAAAATTATAATAGTTTGAAACATGCGAGCGCGGATTAACGTTAGCCAATATAATTAATAGTAGCCGTACTTTGCTATTGTTCCAGAGATTACTATTTGACATCTGCGGATTGGATAGGACAAAATAACACGCAAGTTTCGGCCGTGTGGATGAACCGCGCACAAAACCTCAGCATTGTGTCAGCATGTTTGGCCCCGAACTGGACATGTATAGAGGTCAGTTTGCACATCAATCATCTTCCATTTACAGATCACTCAAATAATCCAGCAAAACCCGATCGCTAATACACCGAGAACCAAGAACTTACTAAATTAATCACATGACATTAAACCGAAACCACCTTCTTCAATAATCCCCTTATCGAATTGATTTTTTTTTTGTATTCCTTCTTCTCCCTTTTTTCGATTTGGGTTTTGTTAATTCCAGGGGATCGTTTTGTTTCCTGCCAAGAAAATATGAATGGAAATTTGTTTTCGCGTTCGATCTATCAACGTCCGCTTTGAAATCCGCGTATTATTGATCAAATCATTTTATATGCACTTAACCGAATCGAAAACAAACTTCGGAAGTTTCAATTAAGCTAAAACTAAGTAGAATAGAACTGATTGTTTTGGTTATCATATATAAATCAAGTTAACACACCTTGCGAATTAAGGGAAAGTTCTGAATTGGAGTGAAGAGTCTCTCAAGTTTATCATTATTAGCGGCAATGTATATAATCCAGAAACTTCTTTCTTTTAAATTGTATACTTTGCCGTTAACATATTTGTTGTAAATATTTTTTTATATTATATATTGTACTTGATGAAGCCAAATTAAGCAATAAATAAAGGCTTTTAAATGTGTGATGGGAATGGGTTATTAGTGTCGTATTGTGTAGACGCACGCTGAAAGGGCAACGGAAGACGCTTGGCTCGACATCCAGGAGCATCCTGTCTTTTCCCCGGATGGAGACAGCTTCCTGCTACTGGCGACGGTGCAAGAAGGAAGTACTGACACTTATACCCACATCAAGCATGTCACACTCACGCAACAACGCATAGCAGTCATCAGTCACGGACGTTACGAAGTCAATAAGATCCTTTCCTGGGACTCCAACAATCACCTTATGTAAAATATAAACAATTATCTTTGCTACCCTCCTTTTCATGCATCTTTATTTTTTACGCCCAGCTATTATCTCGCCTCTCAAGAACACAAGCCGGGTCAAAGGCACCTTTATGTAGTGCGTGACCCGTCAACTGATGACCCCAGGCGCGTTGAACCCCAATGCATCACGTGTGATCTAGGAGAAGTCCTCTGGAGCAGCAGATATTATTACAGTAACTGCACTCATTTCAACGCTTTGGTATGCGGTTGAGATTTATTTAATTTATTCTACAGGCGCATTAATTAGTCAATGGGATTTTTGTTTTAAATTTATTTTAGATAAGTCCGACGACCGATCAAACGTTAGTACGTTATTACGTCCTTCAATGCGAAGGGCCAGGTCTTCCATTGGCGGGCGTTCACTCGTCAACGACGCATAAGTTATTAAAAATACTTTACGATGACAGACCGAAACAGAGTCCGATTCTCGGACAACTTGCTTTACCGAAGCAACGGTCTTTTGAGGTGCCTTTATCCCAAGGGAGCAGAGCCCAAGTGCAACTGCTTCTACCCCCTAGTTGGAGAGAAGAATTACGAGATGCTGCCTATCCTGTCCTGGTCGAAGTGTAAGAATGATTCTAATGTTAAATACGAATACTATTGGTATATGGTATAAATATATATTATTACAGGAACGGTCGACCAGGAAGCAAAGCTGTAACAGAAGAATTTAAAATTGATTGGGGCACGTACATGTCCAGTCACTGCGATGTGGTTTATGTTCGGTTAGACGTCCGAGGTTCAAGTGGACAGAGCAATCGTGCGCTATATCACCACCTCGGCGGTGTTGAAGTTCAAGATCAAATAGCAGTCGTTAAATATTTACTCAATACGCTTACATACCTCGACGAGACGAGAGTCGGCGTCTGGGGATGGGGCTACGGCGGTTACGTAACTGCCATGGTTCTGGGCTCGCAGCAGAAAGTATTCAAGTGCGGTGTCGCAGTCAGCCCCATCACCGATTGGCTCTACTACAGTACGCATTCACGATCCAAACTAATCTCATACATGTTTACATAAACTGCAAATTTCCATTTCCTACAGATTCGGCCTTCACGGAAAGGATATTGGGGCTGCCCACGGATAATTATAAAGGGTACGTGGAAGCCGATGCGACGCAAAGGGCTCGTCAGATACCATCAAGTTCACTTTACATACTTCATGGTTTGGCCGACATAACAGCCCCTTATCAACACGGGGTTGCTTTAGCGCAAGCTCTAACACAAGCCGGTGTTTTGTTCAGATACCAGGTAAAGTACCAAACACGCAATACGCATATTTCAGACATCTTAATTTAGCCAGCAAGTGGACTCATAGAAGTGTATTTTTGTAGAGCTATGCAGATGAAGGGCATGAACTGCAGGGAGTCATAGAGCATGCCTATCGCTCGATGGAAGACTATTTCCAGGAGTGCCTTAGTTTAGATACGGACGATCCGAAAACACCTCCAGATACCTGAAACTTTCTGATCTGCGCGGTAGTATCCAAGTTAGTGAACAATTACCAGGTTGCTAATCAACACAAACCTATCTCAGTAGCTACAAATGTTAGATAGAGAAGCAACCACGAGAACAAAAACCAAAGTGACTCCGTTTTTTTACCCCCCAAGACCCAATAATTAAAGTGCTTGCATATCTTTACAACAAAAATTTTCATTTTGGTATTCATGTCATAAAATATTTGGACAACCGTTTTTTCATCATCGTGGAAAAGATGAACGTTTTATTTATTATTTATTTTTCAAATTTTATATTAGTGACGTTAATAATTAATTAATTTAAAAAAAAAACAACAACATGCAGGGAACGATTTAACATTAAACTAACAACAAATTTAAAAAAAAGAATGAAAAAAAAAACACAAAATATAAATCACTTGTTTATATATCAGCGCAATATGTTATAGTGTGTTTTCATAAGTGTAGATGAATTTAAAGAACTAAAAGGAATTTTTTCCGTTGTTACTATATGAACAAAATAAACTGGAATAAAATTTTATATATATATGGAATATAAAAAAGAAAAAAATACAAATAAAAAGCAAAAAATAATGAGAAGTTTTAGAATGTTAAATTTAATACTAGTCTCTTTCAAATCTTTATATTATATAATCTATTATTAAGCGCACGTGTTGCGAACGTTTCATTTGGTTTTAAACATTTATTAGGGAAACTGAGCTTAAATCGCACACAGGGACTTTCAATGATGCACATCTTATATAACTTAAAGAAAACAATAAAAGTAAATCAAAAGTATCTCAGGGCTTTGAAGATGCCTGCAGTTTGCAAAAACTGTTAATTCGCAATAAAAAATAAATAAATATTGAAGTTTTTAATTTAAAACGACAAAAAGAAAACAAGGTGAAACATGAATACCGAAAGTCTTCCAAAAATCAAAAAAAAAAAA